CAAAGAAACAAGTTTCATCCCCTGATTTTTGCTTCACCAAAAACTTGAAAAAAGTCAGAACAAGCTGAATAAACACTACTTCACTTTCAAGAATAATTAATTCCTCTTACTTAAATCATGGCTATATGTTGCTGTAAATATTTGTGCCTGCAGCCTTCTGCAGCAGAATTCCTGTAGCAGCAATCACAAGTTGCTGTTCTCTGGAGTAGTGAAAACCCAGCAACAAAAGACTCGTGACTGAAGTGCAGAATCAGATGATCAGTTCATTCAAGATTAGAAACACAGTAAGAATAAAATCCATGCAATTACCTTCTCCTCCTTCGAGACATAGGGAGGAAAGGAAGGGATCTGAGTACCTGTAAAGAGGGCGTGGTAATGCAGACCCTTCTCTTTATCCTGATGAGAGCAGACATCAAATAAATATGCTTTGATGGGGCCATCAATAAAATCAGCTGCAAAATCAAAAAGCACTACTCCCAGCATGGTAATGACTATTGCCCACGTCCGCTGATTGTCTCTCTCACCGATGAAAGCTACAAAAAGAAAAGCACGCTCATTCTGACAGCAACACTGCCATGTTCTGCAAAACCACATTTTCTCTTTTCTGATACCTCCAAATCTAAACAATGCTTAGTTACGCAAGAGAGAGCAGTGATAGCAGAATCACATCAGAGAAGCAGGGTAACTGAGTCTGTGTAGCACTGAGCTTGAACCAGCACAAGCTCAGGGTACTCCGAGCTCCACAATCAAGAGCATCGCTAGCCTTAATCTACTCCTTCACACCTCCGTGGCATGCTCTGGTAGCCTAACACATATGCATTTTGTAGTACGTTTTCGTTTTATTCTATTTGTCCCACCCTTCCATTGTTTTAGATACTCAAGAGTTGACTCTAACATCCATTTTTGGGCAAATGAATACAAGTATATTCAACACCAATGATACCCAAGAAGGGAGAATAAATCAATCCGTAAAAACAGACACATCCCCCCTCTGCCAAGTCATAATGACAGCAACAATGTTGCATCAAGACTTTCAGAAGTTACATCTCAAGCTGAAATATAACAGCATCTAGGGATGTCACTCCTATTTATTTTGCATATTCCCGGTGCAACACCGTTTCCAAAGAGTTATGGATTTCTATTATTCACCAGCGTAACACAGTCCTGAGTCAAGCCAGTGCTGCAATAATTAAAGATATGTATTTTGAATGCTAATCCATCTAAAATAGGGATTAACAGATACTTAGTTTGGATGTGTATTACCTCACACAAACAATATTGATCGTTTAACTTAACAAGGTAGATTTCAGTTTGCAAAAACTTCTCTGGGCCTAAGCAGTGCTTTACTTGCATGAACTGATCAGGCAACCACACCAACATACAACATACTGTAATCACATGCAGAAACTACAGAACGCTACATACAGAGTGCATAACATGCAGCATTAGGATTGAACACGTGAAGATTTCAGCGTTCCCCAGCTCCTTCAATGCAGCTGAGTAACACGATACCCAATTTCAGTCCATTTTACCAGGGAAAAAAAGGAACCCCGCTTTTCTTTCTGATTCGAAAGGCTAGGATGAATTTTGTCTGTCAGCACAGCGTATGCCCCTCACTCACCTGACATCATCACGTCCCCATTGAGGTACAAAGCCATGCCTAACAGCATTATGATGCCCAGACCCAGAATGTAAGGCCGCCTCCTGCCCCAGCTACAGGTGCAGTGATCGCTGGCTGAACCTGCCACGGGCTGCAGCATGAAGCCCAGGACAGGGCTGATGAGCCACACCAGGCTGTAGAGGTGCTTGGGCAGCCCAACGCTGAGCAGGACCGGCGTGACAAAGGCGGCCTCCACGGCGTAGCAGAACTCCCGGCCGAACATCGCCATGCTGTGCATGACCAGCCTTCCCACCGGACGCTTCTTTGGCACCATCGCTCCAGTTCTCGTCACAGAGTGCAGCAGAGCCTCCTCCTTCTCTCTGGTGCTGTCCATGTTGGCCCTGACCTCCTCAGAAGGGGGTGGAAGAGCCCTGTGGAAGCTCGCTTTCGTTAAGGTCATCCCTCTGGCTACACACAGCACTCCGGCAAGTCGGTGCTGCCTGCCCTGGCTGACATGGAGCCCAGATCATATGCCGGGTGGGATCAGTCTGTGCTGGGGGAGGGACTCACATACTTTCATGGGTCTGCGATCACAAGTTATGAAAGGAAGGGGGCGGGGAAGCGTGTGTTAACATTAGGAGATCTGAGCTTTTGGGTGTCTGCAAAGCTCCCAACTATCCACAACTAAAGAACTACTGTTTAAGCACGAAACACACATATAACGGGAACATACATCACATGGGCGAGGCGCAGGACTAGCATGACACAAAGCTGTTCCTCTTGTTGCTGTAAGACAGTGGTGGTTCCAAGAAACTAGAGCCCTCATCTTTCCGTTCAGCAAAGAACATGAGCAACAGAGTGCTGATTTCCTGTTGATCAAACAGGGGAAAAGAATCTATAATATATATCCAGAAAAGGATTTCAGTGCACTTCATGAAGACAAGTAAGTGCACCTACCTACTTCCCTAGACTGTTAGTGGCAGATAAAAAGCTTGACAGAATTCTGTCAAACATCAACTGGTGAATATTTTTTTTTGTATCTGCTGTATGCCAGCCTGAATACAACTGATTATTTTCTTGGCTTCTGAAAAACAAAGGATATCAGGAACACTTAGGGGTTTTCTTAAACAGACTCACCTGCCAAGAGAAGGCCTTAAAAGAAATCTCAAGTGACACACCAAAACTGTATCTTTTCGGTTAGCCACCTGAGGCAGCTGATTCAACCTATGCTGGATTATAGAACCACAGAATCATGGAATGGTTTGGGTTGGAAGGGACCTTTAAAGGTCATCCAGCCCAACCCCCCTGCAGTGAGCAGGGACAGCTTTAACCAGAGCAGGGTGCTCAGAGCCCCGTCCAACCTGGCCTGGGATGTTGCCAGGGATGGGGCCTCCACTGCCTCTCTGGGCAACCTGTGCCAGTGCTTCACCACCCTCATGGTAAAAAATTTCTCCCTTATACCTAGTCTGAATCTACCCTCTTTTAGTATAAAACCATTACCCCTTGTCCTGTCAAAACAGGGCCTACTCAAAAGTCTGTCCCCATCCTTCCTGTAGGCCCCTTTTAAGCACTGGAAGGCTGCAATAAGGTCTCCTCGCAGCCTTCTCTTCTCCAGGCTGAACAACCCCAACTCCCTCAGCCTGGCCTCGTAGGAGAGGTGCTCCAGCCCTCGGATCATTTTTGTGGCCCTCCTCTGGACCCGCTCCAACAGGTCCATGTCCTTCTTGTGCTGAGGGCCCCAGAGCTGGACGCAGGGCTCCAGGTGGGGTCTCACCAGAGCAGAGCAGAGGGGCAGAATCCCCTCCCTCGACCTGCTGGCCACGCTGCTTTTGATGCAGCCCAGGATGGGGTTGGCTTTCTGGGCCATGAGCGCACATTGCCGGCTCATGTCCAGCTTTTCATCCACCAGTACCCCCAAGTCCTTCTCCGCAGGGCTGCTCTCAACCCCTTCATCCCCCAGCCTGTATTGATATCGGGGGTTGCCCTGACCCAGGTGCAGGACCTTGCACTTGGCCTTGTTGAACCTCATGAGGTTCACATGGGCCCACTTCTCAAGTTTGTCCAGGTCCCTCTGGATGGCATTCTGTCCAGCAGGTGTGTCAACTGCACCCCTCAGCTTGGTGTCATCTGCAGACTTACTGAGGATGCACTCGATCCCACTGTCTGTGTCATTGATGAAGACATTAAACAGCACTGGCCCCAATGCAGACCCCTGAGGTTAACCCCTGAAGTTAACCTGGGTCTTTAAACTGACTTCAGCAATTTTGGAGTCAAAACTTAGGTACACTGGGGATTACATTTGTCAACATTTATTGTTCTCCAACGCAATCAGATGCATCTGGGACTAAACAAATTGTCAAATCTTACCATAAAGGTGTATAATATTCAGTAATTTACATTAGAGTGATTATCAGCTGGAAACTTAAGATGCTTTTGCTGATGCTTTATCTAATTTGTCTGGACCTGCTACATATTCTTCCTTCAAGGCAGGTGTTTATGTAGTCGAATGTAAAAGCTTTTTTTATACTAATAATGCTGATATTTTAGCATGACACATGTAAAATGAGCTAAAGTGTATCTCAGCTTTGGAAGTATTTGTAAGCAACAAAGTAATCTTCAGCAAGGTAAACACTGACAAAATTATCAGAAAACCCAACACCTCATATCATAATTCCTGACATGTCAGACTAAAGAAAACTGTATTAAGGACATGTAACTAATTCTTTTTAAAGGCATATTTTGCCTTGAAGGAGACTGTTCAAATGACAGTTTAATTTTGAAGGAAATGAAAACCACCGTGGAATAATCATTGTTTAAAACCCATGCAGCTAAGTTGCCTACATTCTTCCAAAAGGAGAGGAAAGTATTAATACTTGGCAGCTATTTTAAAATAAAGAATTCCATTCTGAAGTGATTTTCTAGGCAAATTGAAATTCCAAATGTAATATAGTCAGGAGACTGCATTAGGAAAATGCAGACAGTCTATTAAATAGAATTACTTTATGATAATAACTCCACAGCAGCACATAAGAAAACAGCATTTTTTCAATCACTGTTTTGGCATGGTAAGGCAAATTAATTAATATGGTAAGATAGAGAAGAAAAATATCCCTTGTAATCTATGAATAAACAACACAATCATTTGTTTATGAAGAATACAACTATTTCATGAGAAGTATAGTAATATACATTGTAATTACATGAAGACAAAGCAACAGTGTAACTAAGAATCAAAAGAAACAAACATTTCACAGGATATGATATTTAAAGAAACATTTTGAGGATTTACAGCTGCTTACTAAGCAAACTGAGTAGATCTTCAGAACATAATTTTGGTATCATTCTGGACTGCAGACCATCCAAGTACACAAGAACGTAACTCCCACTGTTTTCAATTAAATTTAAAACTTCAGTCATTTAAAAGAAATTATTTAAAAGCTGTAGCATCCAAACATTTATTTGTCATATAATTCAATTTTAATGCATAAAAACGTACTGTATCAGCCTGAAATTTCTCCAATCTGCATAGTTAGAGATTACAAATTAGCTTCTAGTTTACTGAATTCTATTACTTTATCAGAATACAGTTTAGTAATCTCTTCCTGAGTAAATCCATATTCTCGAAGAATTTCTTCTGTGTGTTCCCCTATAAAAGGATCTCTTTTAAATGATGGAACAGCAGGCGTCCTTGATAGAAGAGGAGCAGGTCTAGGACTTATCTCTTCCTGTTCATTTTTGATAAAAGAACCTCTTTCTTTGTTATGCTGATGTGAGGCAACATCATCAAAGGTTAAAACAGGGGTCACACAGGCATCAGTACCATCAAATATGCTGCACCACTCAGCTTGTGTCTTCTGTGCAAATATGGATGCAAATTTTTTCTTCATTTTGGGCCAGTCGGAGAAACTCAACTGACTGGGAAGTTTATCTGAATCTAGCCCAAGACCTGGAAGGAGAAAAGCAAAGTTTAACTGTAGTATAGCTTACTTAAATTAAATTAAAGTGCTGCCCACAAGTAAGTATGTTCCTTGAGAAGCTAATATTTTGCAGGCAGTCCAACAGAGAAGAACATACTAACTAAAAGTCACTTCAAACTTTACTATGATATCTATGATTGAGGAGGAGGGAGCAGAAGAATGCAATGTTCTATTACTTTCAATTAGACTAAACTGCAACAGTTACAGCCTTTTAACTAAGTACATATAATAAATACTCATTGGTATAAACACTTCATAAGAGCAGCAGCTGCCTAGAGACAACATTTTGTCCTGAGAACATTTTCTGTGACAGGTATTGTATTCTCTACCTAGCAGTGGCAACACAGAAGTCTGCTCAATGGGTCTTGGACTACAGCAATATACTTATCCCATAGATGCCAGTACATCTCACTCGCTGAGGCGAGCAGCTCCAGGGCTGGTATGATCTGCAGCAGAGCGCTTTAGCATGGTGCACAGGGGGGTTTCCCAAACCAGGGGAGCCTCAGGGGAAGCCAAGAGAGCTGCCAGGAGCCTGTAGCTGGCGCACAGGAAAGGCGCTAAAGCTCTGCCAGCTCAACCGGGGAGCAGTGCTATCCACCGGGAAGAAAGCCATGGCCTCTCTTAAGCTCTGCACCCACCGCGACTGAAGCAGCTTCCCAGAACGAGCTGCGGTGGGAACACGCTGCTACCCTGGTGTGGGGCTGCAGGGTGTGCCCTGCTTTTATGCGAGTACGGGACAGCAGCAGTGAGCACACCTGCAGGATGTGCACCCAGGTAGCGGGATGTGCACCCAGGTAGAGGAAGTCCTCTGCTTAGTGAGAGTGCTGTGGGAGGAGGTGAGTAGGTTGA